TTGATGACATGGGGCTCACATATAGGCCTCTCGGTCATACGTCGCCCCGTCATCTTTATTTGATGACCTGGAGCTCTCATATAGGCCTCTCGGCCATACATCGCCCCGTCATCTTTATTTGATGACGTGGAGCTCTCATATAGGCCTCTCGGCCATACATCGCCCTGTCATCTTTATTTGATGACGTGGAGCTCTCATACAGGCCTCTCGGCCATACATCGCCCCGTCATCTTTATTTGATGACGTGGAGCTCTCATCCGGGCACCTCGGCCATGCATCGCTCCGTCATCTTTATTTGATGACGTGGAGCTCATCATACCGGCCACTTGGCCGTCTCTCCTGGTCATCTTTATTTGATGGCTTGGACTTCTTATAGGCCTCTCGACCACATGTCTCGGTCACTTTATTTGATGACCCAAACATCACATTATGGACGGTCACTCGACCTATCTCTTAGTCATCTTTATTTGATGACTGGGACTAGTTATCATGCCGAGCTGCTCACATCTAGAGACTGGTCTCGGCCATCCCTGTAGCAGACGGACACCGTTGCAGCTCCACACCTAGGCCGAAGGGCTCACCCCTTTTGCTTCATATTGGGGGCATCCGGTGTACTCTTTTTCCCTCATTAGGATTTTTTCCTAAAGGGTTTTTCCCTAATGAGGTTTTTAATGAGACATCTCCCCATTGTGGATCAAAAGGTGTTGACTCTCGGTCCCCTATTGAAGACATCACGAGACAAGCACTACGTTACACCTCTTCACCTCACTACATTCACCTCAAGGAGTGGGGGACTGGAAGAGCGGGGGACTTCGCGTCTCAAATTTTTTCACGAAGTTTACTCACCAGACGACGACAGATCAGCACACAGTTATACTCCCTTTCGCCTCGAGTACTCTCGACTCAGGGACTGGGGGACTCCTGATAGAGTATATAGACTCGGACCCCCGGGTCTCACGACTATTGGGCCCGGACAGCGACCCACTCACGCTTATCGGGTGTCATTTATATCATTTGTATGTGCTAGATTAGTCTTTTATGTAGTTGGGCCTATCGGGCCCATATTAGGGGCCCGGTCCATTATTTCTCTATTTATACTCCTTTTGGAGCTTGTAACCCTAGAACACAATTCCTAACATTTAGAACATACTATTCATCATCTTCTTCGCTCAATAGCTCAAATCTCTCCCCAAATTATATAGATTGGATACCCTATAAATCCTATAACCCATCACCAAAATAAGTAAATCATACACACATCAATTCTTTAAAGTCCTTTCTCGTTTCTCAACAAAATATTACTCCGCCCCTTCATCCCTGAAAAAATTACCAACTTTCCTTTTTGGGCGTCCCAAAATAAAATTTTCATTTTCCCTTTTTGGTAAAAAAATTGTGGTCGACAATAAATCTTACATATTTTTACACGTTTTTTTCCTACTCCGTTGGTGTGAACTCAGAAAACAGAAGAAAATTAATTAAATGAATTAATAAAAATAGCAAAAGAAAAACAGAAATAAGATGGAACAGAAAATAGCCAAAGCTTGTGCAACAGACAATGTCCTTAAAACGTATTCGTTGCCTCCCACAGTGCTAGAAGCGTTGCAACGACCATTTCCCATGATACAGTGGCTAACGAACAATCGTTTGAACGTGTATGTTCGTGTGTTGTTGCAAAGCATCGGCCAGCTACTTATAGGGAAGGATCTGTTGTGTGTTAATGGTGTATTAAAGAACCTGAATGTTGGACATCAATGTCCAGAACGTTGGGTATTGATTCGTCCAAAAAATGTCCATTTAATTGCATTCAAATAGCATTATGTTGGGCTTTTATTGCTGTAACGCTTCAGCAGCAAGCAGTAGCCTACTGTTGATTGTTCAACAGCTGAGCAGCAGCCTTCCAAAAAAATTAAATCTTATCCCACTTAGGAATCTTAACTCCTTCAAAGAGGGTTCCCTTTATAAGGGGGTGAAAATCCTTTGGGTTTTCTGGTGTGGGAAATATCACACTACAAACTCATTTTTCTAGTTTTCTTCATTTCAACGAGTGAACTTTGAGAATCAATTTCTCATTCACATGTTATCCATTTTGAGTGTAACATATGTCGAATTGTAGCAGCTCTTAACAAGGAGAATCTGAAACCACTTTGACCCGGCCCAAATCGAAAGTGGACCCCACTCAAATTACTTCCCAAAATTGACCATCTAATGCAATTTTTTACACATTTTCTAACATACTCTACACAACCTTCACCACACAATACTCAATATCTTAATCCTCGTGCTATTTGTACTATGAAAGAAAAATTAGGGACAAAGGAGTAGTAAACATATTATTTTAATCAACATAGAAAACATTATTAACAACTTCTATAAATAATTGACAACCTTTCTAATATTACCTTTAATTCATATCAAAGTGTTGATATCCGGGGCATGCCCCGGGTGTTACACTAGTTAAAAGCTCTATTACACATATGCTCGTATCTAGGGATGACAACAGGTGGGTTTGGGCAGGGATTCACTCCCTCATCCCTGCCTCATGTCTAAAAAATATCCCCCATCCCCTGTTACTCTAGACCCGCCCCATCCCCGCCCAACTCGTTGTCCCCAGCCCCATGGGTGCTCGCAGGTGCCCCCATATAAATTTCTATTATTTTATTTGCATATTTTTAAACCATTTTATAGATATATAAATATATATAACACCAAAAGAATTAAACTAGTTAATATTTTGTTTGATAAAAGATAATACCACCAATTTTTAATAATTCTGCAATTTCAATAAATTCTATGAAAATAATAAAACTAAAAATATAAGTAAGCATATTACCATCATGTATGTCGTTCCAAATTTCTTATTAATTATAATACAATTAGTTATATGTATTATGCATATATGTGTGTGTTCCGTTTACTAGGTTTCTCACTTTTAAAATTCATATATCTTTTATGATAAATATTTTGCCATTACTTATTATTATTCTATGTACGTAGTATTAGTACATTAATCATGACTAGTACACATACATTATGCATCTCTATAAGTATATGTATGTCTTTGTTATATACTACATATAATTTAATTAAATATGTTTGTACATTGTTAATATATGTATGTATATAGATGTATGTTTGAGTATATAGTTATAACGGGGACGGGGCGGGTGTAGTAATTCCCACCCCCACCCCATATTTTAGCGGGGTATAAATATCTCACTCATCCCTGCCCCCGCCCCGTCCCAAGCCCCGCCTCGTCCTTTCCTCACGGGGCGGTTCCCCACGGGTCCCTGCCCCCATTGCCATCCTTACTCGTACCACACATAGCAATGAGTGTAACAGTTTTGTAACGATTATCATTCTTACTCATTGACCAGTGTAATATAATAATTGATCATATCGAGATCGAGTGTGCAGGTCGTCCTCCATATTTTGAGTGTTCTGGTGAAAATAAACCAAGATGCTGAAATTTGGTTTATTTTTGTAGGATTCTGCATTACTAGATGAATTACTTTTGTTTCATCTAATTTTCAAATATTTCTTATTATTTTGTGTGATTATGTAGTTGGCCTCTTATGATGTGTAGACTTATGAATATAACTTGCTAACTCCGCCCCACTCAACTTTGCCAAGTTGAAATTGAGTGTCAAATTAGAATAGTAAAAACTGTATAGTTGAGTTTGTGTAAAGGAGAGAAAAATGAGCAGAACCACAAATTCATTACTTTGAAAGGAAAGTGGCAAAATTTTTGGGACAAACAGAAAAATGAAAGTTGACAAGGTCCAGTGCGACGAAGGAAGTATAACAGACTACGTAGTTCTTATACTCCGAGGCAGATCTAGACCGCTCAGCCTCATTCCGAAGAGCTCATTAGAGTCGAATGCGAGATCTAGTTCGCCCGATCTCGTCCATGTAACTTGACATAGTTGCAAATGGGCTCTTTCATGATCTGATGGGTCCCAATCACTGACCTTGGACTTGTTTGAGTGTTTCAATCTTGATGGCTGGGTATGTTGGGCTTCTAAGATTGGGTGGCCTCTTTGGGCCCTAAGGTGTGTGGTAATGTACTCCATCAACAAGTGTGACACAAATACACACCCCAAGGATTGTATGAACATGTACAGATTTTCTTGGGGTCAACTCTTTTCCTTGTGAATTTTTCACTAATGACATCCAAAATCATGTCCCAAACATGTTATGCTAGGGATGGAGTGATGGACTCGGGCCAGGTCAACCAGACCGACCCGGTACTATTACGAACCGGCCAGACCCGCGGCCCGGGTCCGGTCCGGGTGCAATATACCCGAACCGGGATTTTTCAGGGCGGGCTCCGAGTCTCCCAAAAATGAACCGGCCCATCCGGGCCCAATCCGGGCCAATTTGTTTTTTCCAAAATTTTTGGGAGGTAAATGGGTTGGGCTGGGAGGTTTTGGACGGGTTTGGGGTGTGGGGGGTGAGGGGGGTAGGAAGTAATAAGAAAATAAAAGAAAATGTTACTAGGCTGACCCGGCCCGAATTGGCCTGACCCGGCCTGGGCCCGACCCGGACCCGGTAGCTACCCAGGCCGGTTCCGGGTCTCAACAAATCCCATTAAAGCCCGGTCAGACCCGGCCCGAGGCCCGGACCGACTCCATCCCTATGTTAATATGTTATGCATAATGGACAGAGCTTGGGATTTTATTTACTTGTTTGCTTAGCAAAGCATGATGCTGGGATTGCTAGCACACATACTTGCATCACATTTTCACCATTTCCATTACCTAATGGCATTATACCAATTTCTCTCGTTTGGACGCAGAAAAGAAGCACAAGAAGAAGAAACCAGCACCATAAGGATGATAAACAGAGGAGCTTATTAGCTTGTTAACTACTTGAGAGTAGAATTTACTGTTTCCTGATGTTAATTTGAGCTTGTTAACTACTTGAGAGCACAAGTCGCTGTTCATGATGTTAAATTTTAGCACATGAATTTCATGTCGTATTTCAAATCAAAAAATGGATCTGAAACATTCATTTAATTTCCATCTTTTTTCTTCAAAAACTGAGGTGAAGCCTGAAACCAAGGCAGATAAACAGCGGAAATGGCGGCCAATGTCCACGGAAAACAATGTCCCAACAATGAATTCATTGATATCATTACAGAAAATAGTTACAGAAACATTGGAAATCAACAGAAGACAAAACTGGCATTACGTGCAAAAACTCTCAAGTTAAAAGAGACAGAAGAGACTCGTCTTTCATTTGGTCAGTTGAAACATGAAACACACATGACTAAACTACCACAAGTTGCAAACTCAACCATCTCATCTAATTAGTCCGAACCAATGGGTGCCAACTTAAATAGGCCACTGATATGAGTGTTGATATCTTCATGGCCATTGAATTAATCATTCAATAATAAAAGCTTCGGCTCCCATGATTGCCGCTCCTCTCATTAACAGGTTTGTTACCAACTGCTTAAGGTTGTATTTTCCCTAACAGTGTCATGCATAAAATCCTTTCTTGACTAGAGTATGAATCAAATTTCCAGATGTCACTTCTTAAGCTCATTAAAGAACTGCAGTTTCTTCTTATGTGACTGATTGTAGTAGTAGTGATAGTAGTACCATCAACCTCATCCCTGCTATGTTGTGGTCTTCAAAATTGCACTTCATCTGGTATTCAGATTGTTGAATTATCAATACATGTATTTAAATGCTCATTATGAAGAGTTAGGCGGAATGAGGAAGCGGTCCAGCCCAGCTGGTCGCCGACTCACTCTCCCTTACGGCCTTACGGGAGGTCTCGGGTTCGAAACTCAATGAAGTGAGTTTCAGCCTAGATTACTCCAGGCTCCCCCAGCCCCCCCTCCCCCAAACGCCCCCTGGAGTAAAAAAAAAAAAAGAGTTAGGTGGAATTATTAGATAGGCATGAAGGCATTCTATGTTCTAACCCTTGGAATACTAGATGGAATATAATGGTATTTTTGTATATAGGTATGGAAAACAACAGTTCATGAATGATGATCTAAATAGTCTCAAGGATTTTTCTAAAATATATCAACACTATAAACTCAAGCAAAAACGTTCAGTGGCAAAACATTACACCGTGTGTCCTTCCTGTGGCACACTTCAACAAAGATTAATGAGAGAAATTCCAAAACCCCTGTCATATCATTGACTAATTTTTGTAAAGATCAGTTTATACTATAAATTCGTGCAAAAGATATAGGAGAGAAATTTCCAAAAACGTCATCATTATATCATATTTATGGTGTAGTATGAAACCAAGAAAAGGCTTGCTTATTTTCACACATATATTGTTCCATTTCATGCAAATTTGAAATGTATCAATGTATCATCATTGTTCTAGACCCATTCTTTTTTAATAGTGGAAAACGGGTAATGAGAGGAAATAAATTGGTATGAGCAGTAGGTATTAGTTATCTCCTGATTGGAAGGGGAGATAAAATGGAAACTGAAAGAAAATGAAAAGATAATGAAGCGGAAGTATTATCTCCCCTCACTCTTATCATATACTTTTTATCTTCCCAAACATGAGAAGGAAATGAGAGAAAGAACAGGCTCCCCTTCTCAGCACACAATACACATTGAGCCTAACTCCTCACTCTTCTCAACCTACATCATACGATATACTACCTCCCCTTTCTCACTTATCTTCCCCCCCTTCCCTCTCTTATTTCCTTTCACATGAACGAAACATATTCTACAGGGTTTAATATCCTCCAAATAGTGCATTATAGGTGGCTGCAGGTGCACAGGAAGCTAGTAGTACCTGGACTACAGCTGACTGCGTGGCCGAGGCAGCTCAGCAGCGAGACTTCAAAAATGAGAGGGAAAGCTGTTTCCGGGAAAGCCATATTTGTACTCTGTGTGGCAACCTTCCTAGCTGGATCACTGTTCAGTAGCCGGACATGGAATCTGCATCCAGACATTACATCAGATGGCAGAGGTGTCAACCATGACTGTGACCACAAGCGCGTAAGCTTTGAAAAGATAAAAATTAACTTTGCACTTTTTTGGGTCTGTTGGAACCCGGAAATACAAAGAAGGAAAATTTGGGCAAAATAAAGGACGGGCACACACTCAATAAATTTATTTTAGATATACGCCCCAACTTCAAACTCATTTTATTTATTTATTTATTTAATTGTTTGTTTGTTTGTTTACTTACGTATTTACTTATTTATTTATTTGTTTGTTTAATAACTAACTAACTTACTTACTTATTTATTTATTTATTTACATATTTATTCATTCGTTCGTTTATTTCTTTATTTTTTTATATCAAGAACTAAATTTTGAATATATGACATTTTTATTTCAAGAGCTAAGAATGTCATATAATCAATGATTCAACTTTATGTATTTACTTACTTACTTAATGATTCAACTGTTTTACTTAACAGTATTAACTATTAGTGCCAACTGCTAGATCATAAATTCACTATTGAAGGTAGACCTTGCTCCAAGGTAGACACTACAAATTCACTTTTTCAACTTTAATACTTATCTAACGGTTAAGATTAACTTATCATTAAAAATTGAATACAACTCGACATTTTTGACGATCTACAGTTGAAACTAATAGCTAATACTACCTCTGTCCCTTAAAACATTGCCAAAGTTGACCGACACGGAGAATAATAAAGCAAAAATTGTATGGTTGAGATTTGTGCAGAGGAGAGAGAAATAACAGAAACCACAAAATAATTGATTAAAAGGGAAAGTGGCAAAGTTTTTTGGGACGTCCTAAAAAGGAAAGATGGCAAAGTTTTAAGGGACGGAGGGAGTACTAATTAACCTAAAAAATGGACCATTTGACTTCATGTTTGGAAAAGGAAATTGGCCAGATGGGATTTCTGTAGGCCAGCCCTATTCAGAACAGTCCTCGTACACACATACACACACAAATATGCACACACATGCATATAAATATGTGTGTGTGTGTGCATGTGTGTGTGTGTATATATATATATATATATATATATATATATATATATATATATATATGAGTAGTGTTCCAGTCAGGCCTTCCTGACCGGAACCGCCGTCCGGCCGACGGCTTTTGGGGCCCTTCCCAGTGGATGTTTTTGATGAGATTTTTATGGCATGTTCTTCATCAAGTCTAGTTTATCCACAAAAAAAATCAGCTAAAAACTCAATTCGGAAGGTCGTCAAATGATTTTTTGAAGTTAACTGCGCAAAACAATACATATAAAACGCAGTTAACTTCCAAAAATCATTTGACGACCTTCCGAATTGAGTTTTTAGCTGATTTTTTTGTGGATAAACTAGACTTGATGAAGAACATGCCATAAAAATTTCATCGAAAAAAGCCACCAGGAAAGGCCCCAAACGCCGTCGGCCGGACGGCAATTCTGGTCCGGAATTCCGGACCTGAACATTTTGTCTATATATATATATAGGGAAGAGTTCAAATGAAAAGTGGTCTTCACGTGCAAAGTGCAAAGTTTTCACTTTTTCATGTTTCGCTTGCACTTTTTCTTATTTGCGTTGCACTTTTTGGCCATTTTGATTTTGGCCAAATTCGGCCAAAATGACGGTGGCAGTTTTGTAAATAAACCAATTTTTTTGAGCTACCGCGAAAAAGTGCAACGAAAGCAAGCAAAAGTGCAAGCGAAACATGAAAAAGTGGAAACTTTGCACTTTGCACGTTAAGACCACTTTTTATTTGAACCATCCCTTATATATATATATATATGAAACATCATTTTAACAAAAAAACATCTTTCTTTTTCCTTTATATTTTCCTACGGGAAATGGGTTGTGAAAAATATTTTTTGAAGTATTTTGTTTTCATCTTGCTTGGCCTTCTGTGTGATGTAAACATACTCTTTGCGTCTTGTTTTCCTACTGAGAAGCACCTAATAAACAAATTGTTTAATCAGAAACTGGTGGAAACAAATACAAGAGATGTCATGGGAGAAGTGAAGAAGACTCATCTAGCTATCCAGTAAGAGAGCACGTCTAGCTAGACATTGATGCTAGAGTTAAATGCTGGTTATTACTTGTAGATGAATTATATAATTTTTCACGTTTTTATCCTCAAGTAGGTCACTTGAGAAAACAATATCAGCATTAGAGATGGAGCTAGCCGTCTCAAGAATAAGTAGAGGTGGAAGCAAGACAGCAGCAGAAGGATCAGATAGCCTTAAAAAGGCATTTGTTGTCATAGGAATCAACACAGCATTTAGCAGCAGAAAAAGGCGTGACTCTCTCCGTGAAACATGGATGCCTAAAGGTCCATCTTTCTCCTACTTCCATCCCAAATTAGTTGGCATTTAGCACCCCCCATTTATACATACATGCGTACATATTATGTTACCCATTATTATTATAGTTTTTAGGTATTCAATACATATTACTTGTACTAACCTCTGAATCTGGTCATGTCAACTATCCCTACATATAAATGGGTTTGTACCTTGCGAATGCATAAAATGCTTTTATTATGTAAACTTAAACAAGTACAGAAGGATAAGTTTGTAGGGTCCCTTAATCGATACATGTCTGATTTTCTGAAACATCAATTATTTGGGTCAGTCGGAGTACAAAACATTTTTCGTAGATGATCTTGCATATATATAAGTAATAATATATACACGTACAGGGGATGAGCTGAAGAAACTAGAAAAAGAGAAGGGGATAATCTTACGGTTCGTGATAGGACACAGTGCCACCCCAGGAGGACTTCTTGATAGAGCAATTGATGATGAGGAAGCTGAATATAAAGACTTCCTAAGGCTTAATCACGTGGAAGGATATCACGAGCTCTCCACAAAGACGCGCATATATTTCTCCACTGCTTTCTCCATCTGGGATGCAGAGTTCTATGTGAAGGTTGATGATGATGTACATCTCAATCTGGCAACACTAGCCACCACTCTAGCAAGGCACAGGTCAAAGCCTAGAGTCTACATCGGCTGCATGAAATCAGGACCAGTTCTTTCCCGGAAGTAAGTCAAGTATCACACCCCCTTCTCTCCCTCCCTCTATCTATCTACATATGTGTGTGTACCTTAAACATTTCAGAAACCACTTTCATCAACCTAAAGTGGTGAGTGGTGACGGGTCGGGCTCTGGTTCTAAGAATGCATCCACTTTCCCCCCATCCACGGCATCCACCCGACCTGCCGTGTATGTTTGAAATATACGGAGGTTTGTTTATAATTAATAAGTGTGTGCATAGACTTGCATACAGGTAATACAGCAAACAAGATTTGTTTAAATATTAGAAAGTAATACATGATACACTGGAAAATATAGAAATCTTATGAATAATATAAAAAAGTACGGGGTATATAATACTCCATATAATTTTTATTCAAATAATAATTATGAATACATTGTGTTATTCAAAAGTTTTAACATTTACATACTAAGTAAAAGTGTAAAACATTAGTGGATTTAGGGTAACTCGTCCCAAACCTGGTACATTGCCATCCCTATATTATTTACTACAAGTGACTCTAGATAAATGTTATCTTAATTGTAGAGGGGTGAAGTATCACGAACCCGAGTTTTGGAAATTCGGAGAAGAAGGGAATAAGTATTTCAGGCATGCCACTGGCCAGATATATGCCATCTCCAAGGACCTTGCTGCCTACATATCGATAAACTCGTAAGTCACATAAAACAAATAATAATTATTAATTAACATGAAAACCCTCTATACCAGACCTTACCTTTTTAACCTGCATACTATAGGGGAATCTTGCATAGATATGCCAATGAGGATGTGTCTTTAGGGGCATGGCTCATTGGTTTGGAAGTGGAGCATGTGGACGAAAGATCAATGTGTTGTGGTACTTCCCCAGGTATTAAAAGAAAACTCCAGTACTATACTGATTTTTAGCCATTTAAAATTTCAAACTATAACAGAAAATAATTAATAAATAAATGAACAAATAGATGAAATGTCAGACTGTGAATGGAGAGCAAAGGCAGGGAATGTGTGTGTGGCATCATTTGACTGGTCATGCAGCGGGATTTGCAAATCAGTGGAAAGGATGAAACAGGTGCATCATTCATGCGGGGAAGGTGAAGGAGCAGTTTGGAGTATTAATATGTAATAATGAGTTTAAAATTTATAGCACTCATCATCAAGTAATACTGAAAGAAATGAGGGTCAGATTCTGAGAGGAGGAGCTTATTAAATTACAGTTTCAATAATGCTTACATTTCTGTACTTTTTCTTTTTGACAGAATTTTGATTTTGTCATTGGTTCAGAAAAGAAGGTTACCATCTAGCCTAGTCCAATAAATTTATACTTTGTTAGTGATGTCTTCACAGCTTAAGACAGAAGAAAGAGTTGGAATTAAAGAAAATTATGACTGTGAGATTGACTTAGTTCTCCAACAGAGCTTTCTTTGTGACATAAAACCAATTGTCTCCTTACAAATGTTCTTCTTGAATTGCTACAACTTTATTCAAAGTATATTCTGACAATAGTAGGATGATGATCATCATCATCATTACCTCAGTGCTGCAAAGGCTCCCACCTACGGTGGGGTAAGGGTCTGACAATAGTAGGACAAATATAAAAAATGGTAAAATGTTTTCTATATTCTCAGGGAATGTAGCACTCCTTCCATCCCATAAAAAGATTCTGCATCCATAATTTTAGACGGCTATAGACTTCCTGTTAATCAAACATGCCGCCGGATATGAGCCATGAACCATTTAATATAAAAATCATTGTTTTGAAAAGCGGAAAATGGCATTGCCCGGGCGATACTAAACATGAAATGCCACTTAAAATTCTTGTGCATCTTCAAAGCAAGAAAGAAGACGACCAGAATCAATTTAAGCTTTATAATAATTAAACTGAAAAAGTTGAAAAAGTTATTAAACAAGAAAAAATATGATAATACCCAAATGAGACTCCTAGGGGGATGGATTGTATTTGGATTGTGATCGATACTTTTTTATCCGTGGACTTTTAAAAAAGTTCATGATTAATTCTTTGAGTTTTAAATTCAAAGATTTTTAAGTCATAGACTTTTAAAATGAATGACTTCTATTGAGTTGATAAATGTATAGACTTTTGTTGCAAAAATACGTATATGATTATTGTCAACTCAACGCAACACCCATTTCCATTTCCCACCACCATATACTGGTGGTGTTGTACGCCTGTGTCTCCAGAATTGCCTAACCCTTGGCTTGACATTATTTAAATAAGAATTTATTAATCAAACACATTAGCAAATAAAAAGTAGTGCGGCAAGAAAATCATAAAGTGATCTCCCCTGTGCAGTTAGCTAGGGTGAATACGGACAGGCAAGTGAGGAAGCTATTAAGCTTGGTGGGTTTGCTTAGAGTTTGTGGCAACTAAGGGAAAATATGAACATTTTATTAAAGGACTGGTTTTCTCAGAAGTTAGAAGCTAGCCATCTAATCTTAAATTCCTAACAAATATTTCTATAGCACCACTATATTGGGTGATAAATTTCATTTGGGAGTAAAATGATTATCCTTTTTTCCAACAAAACAGGATTGCTGCAGATTTTATTTAATGCACAAAGCATATACATATGTTCAGGATTTTATCAAATAAGAACGGATAAAGTTGAAAGCCGCAAAATGAACCACAAAAAGATGCTCCCTGGATAATTCCTCCACTTAACTACCTCATAACACACAGGATAATACTCTTGCTATGCTATCCCATTTGTTCATTTGAGAGGGGCAAAACAGGCATTTACAATTATTTTGGGTGCTCATACTAGTTCAGAGCTTTGGGACACTTAACTCTCTAGTTGAAATATTGTAAATACAGGCAAACAGCGCCTCCAAACCCCAGAAAAGATGAAATCATCACTGAGTAAGCAGCAGGAAAATGGTTCATAAATGCGTAATATAGAGTAGGTTTAGGAGCAAAGCCACCTGTGCAAATTCTAAAGCAGTATATGTCCATACGTACTCTATTGCTAGCATGACTGCAAATACAGATCCCAAAATGCCCAATGCAAATGAGAATGGCGCAGCAATCACTAGTGCTCGAGTTTTCATATCATGGATCAGCAATTGCTCAATGAAGCAGAAGTAGCATATTGTACTAATCAATACAAGTACAATGAAATCCTGCCAAGCACTTATGGGTTGTTGCGAGTTCATGTTCTGGCAGTTAGGCTGCATCTGTCTGGCATATTGTTGAGAAGTGCTTTGCACCTAAAGCAATGTAACAGGCAAATTCATCACTTCTTGCCTACACACCTCACACGTTTTGTTCCCTTTAATGCTAAACCACTTGATTGCACACTCATCGTGGTTCATACTCCCAATAGCTGCATTTCTTGGAGGCATATGAAGACATAGATCTGAATTTCTTGCGGATGGGCTTGAATAAAAAACAACTTTTGCTGAATCTTTCTTGTTGGAATCAGCCTGCGGTAGTGGTGGTGTAAGAGAATCTCCATGTGCAGCTGAATCGAAGCTTGTGTCTTGCTCTAAGGTTTTTGAAGATTCCATTTGAGATTTGAGGGTCTTGCGCAAAATTGAAAATGAGACCCTAAGTTTTTTTTATCATTATATCATCATTATTATATTATTACTTTCACCGTTTTTAAATAATAGTGTCCTTAGTTTTTTTTGTGGGTTTTAAGATGAAAATAGTAGGTCCTAAAGATAAATGAAAAGTAGAAAAGAGAATAAATTAAGAAAAGTAAAGTAATGACAAAGTATGAAAAAGAAAGTAGTTACAAGCTCGTTCCAAACTGTATGAGGATTTTGTGCTAATTAATGTAATTAGGCCTTGTGAAATAAAGAAATCACACAATTGTAATTAACAATTATACTTTAATTACATAAAAATATTACTATTTAATGTTTGTATTTAAAAATAATAATAAGATAGAAATTTTTAATCAAATAAATAAAGATTTATTATATTATATTATATAGACTATATTTAAATTTTTGGGCCTTCTGAAATTGAGAGGTCTTGTGCGGTTGCACTTCTTGCACACCCTCATCTACGGGCCCTGTTCCATTTTAGTAATATGATTATCTATATATAGGGACTAGTATAATAACTCCCTGAATTTTTCTCAGGAGTACAAACCTTCTCATTATGTGCAAGCAGATTTCGCATTGCAATCAGAACCACTTAAACCCCCCTCTTCCGTTTTGCTGAACCCTCTCCCATGGCGGCTGACTATGGACAGCAAACCAGTAGAGGGTCCAAGGGAAATTGAGCCCATACGGGGAAAACCCATACCTACAAGGGATAGGAGCGGAAAGAATATAGAGCAGTGCAAGAAAGAGGAAATAATGTAGAATAAGCAGGGGAACGTGATTACGTGGAAGAAGAAATGCTTGCTTTGGCCACTTTGGGAGAATGGAACAAAACCGAGATTCGAACATCTTTCAAACTTTCATGTTTGAAAGTTTATATTCCTAAGTCCAGCAAAAAAGTTCACGATTTTGATCTATACACATTTTGACATTATTTCGATACTGTTTCGATACTGTTTGACATTATTTGACATTTTTTTGTACTGTTTGACGCTGTTTTGATGTAGATAACTTCCCATTTAAGGAAAGAGAAACTTCTCTTTGGGAGGGAGGGAGTATATAATTGGAGAGATGATTTTGGAGGCTTTTGTGACCTTCCAAATCTTCTAAATGCTTAATTTTTGAGTATATAAAAGCGGAAATTTCTTTGCGGGACGGAGAGAGTATATAATTGGAGGGGTGATTTTGGAGGGCTTTTGTGACCTTCCAAATCTTCTAAATGTTTAATTTTTGAGTTCTCTCAATTTAGAGAGTTTTGAAAGATAATTAAATAAATGGTAATTTAAGCTCAATTAATAATATGATAAAAAAAGCTCAATTAATAATAAATATCAGTTCAATTATTTGAATTTGTTATATCTCAAAGTGATTTTATTTATAATTCATTCAAGAACTCTTTTTTTCAAATTATTATTCCCAAATACAAAGAAGAGTTTCCTCACTCTCCCTCCCTTTTCCCCTCCAACAACATACCTCCAAAGCGTTCCTCTCCCCTTCCCTCCAACCTCCCAAACAGTCCCTTAGGTGAGGATGAGAAAATAATGCAGAAATAACTATTTGTATAAAGAGGTTTGAAGTCCACCAATATGAATTTCCATGGGTTGCATAATTATTTTCAATACATTTAAAATCTTATTCATTTTTAAAAGTCCGGATTGAATAGGGTTTGCTTTAGTTTTATTTTAATTTTTATTTTTATTTGGATAGACTATTTACTTTATTTTGTTTGTGTTAATGGTAGTCTTGAGTTATCTAGCTTAGTTATGATAGGAAGTATTCAAATCTCTACAAGTGTTAATTGCTTCGAAGTTCCAATATGTCCAACAAAAAGTTTCTCTTAATTTTGGGGGAACTTTTCTATGCATGAACAGGAATTGAGAGGACCTTTCGGCTACTACCCCCTCCTTCCCGCTAAGATTGTCACAATTTACTTTTTCGATTTCTCCCACTAAGATTGTTTCATACTAAATTTGATAAAATTTGTGTTACTCTAAATCATTCTTATTTTATTCTTACTGTATCAATTCAATATCAACCACATAAATCCTTTTTATCGGTTTGCGTGTCACTTCCTCTTGTTCCATTGTTAGTGGGACAAAGGGAGTATGAGTCTAGTGACATGGTAGAGAGTACAGCGACCTTAAAGGTTAAAAAGAACTATATATTGCTTGTTTGGTGGTCACCAATTCACGATGCTTTTTAGGATCAAATGACAATACCATCTAAGGAGAGAAATAGAACGAACCGCAACCTTTGGATTGACTTTAATTTTTATTTTTCGCTTTTCTTTCTACATGGGTAAATTGGATATTTTTGTTTCTCTTTCATTGCATTAATCACTTGGTAATCCGTTCAAGTAGCTTGTTTCGCTACTGGACATTTTCGTTTCACCTAATTTACATTTCAGTTTCAACTAATGTACAATTCAACTTATGCACATTTTGATTTCACCTAATGCGCATTTCAGTTTCACTTAATTCATATTCAATTTCATAGAATACAATCTAACGATCCAGATGCATTTTCATTCTCTCCTAAGATCATTTTCTCATTCTAACCAAATTACACACACATTCGTGTTCGGCCAGGAGGGCCGTTCAACCACCTCGTTTTGAAGTGATTCTCGATGACATTTTTCTGAATGTTTTTGAGCATGTACCGCATGAAGTGTAGAGGATGTCCACTCAATTTCAGCAAAAAAATCAATCGAGAAGACAATCAAATAAAATTTTCAAAATAACTACATTTTATATGTATATTTTGTTGCAATTATCTTCAAAAAAGCATTTGACTTCCCTCCCAATTGAGTTTTTTTTGCTGAAATTTGATGGACATCATCTACACTTCATGAGGAACATGCTCACAAAATTTAAGCAAAAAAATCATCGGGAACCACCTCAAAATGAGGTGGTTGGACAGCAGTCCTGTCCGACCTGACTGAACACGAATACAACTCTCTCTCTCTATGAAAAATATCTCGTCCGGCCGCAGACATTTGAGCCAATTCCTGGTGGAACGTTTTGATGAAATATTTTGAAAACACTTTCCATTAATTGTAGATTATGTCCCCAAAATTTCAACTTCAATCAATAAGTCAGGTAAATAAATTATTGAAAAACATTGTGCTTATATATATATATATATATATATATATATATATATATATATATATATATATATATATATATATATATATATATATATATATATATATATATATATATAGTTTGGCCCAATTGTTTTTATAAGTCAATTAAATAAGTGTCTTTTATAAATCATTTTGATAAAACTTTTAACACAAACTTGATATCGTATATAGTTTTTTCTTTAAGATATCTGAAGTCTATTTATATATAAGAAATCAAATAGCTCATTAAAGTACTATTTTGCCCTTACTAAAGGTTATGTGTCCTCCTTCCCAAGTTTGTCTCCTTTCACACATTTCTGCCATGTGGTTTGCTAATTTGTTTGCGGCTCACCAATTTTTTGAAGCATTGGTACGTAACTTAACTATCTAATTATCTATTACGGAGTATAAGACATGCAAATGATGGGGCCAAGTTATACAAAAACTCCTTTTTCTTTAAAGTATTATAACTCTTTTATTTTTACATCAATTTTTACAAACAATATATCAAAATTCATGATTTTTATAACCTTTCAAATGACCTCAATATCACACACACACACACACACACACATATATATATATATATATATTTTAAAAATATGAAGGTAGAACATAGATTATTTGCTTCGCATGCGAATGTGGAAAATATAATTAGAAACATACTCTAAATTTTTGTTGGATGGATAACTATGTCAATTCTACTATTCGTAAACCATCATAATTTATTAAAAAAGTGACATTTTAGTAAAAAAAAAACTTCATTACACACGCTTTACCGATGAAAGTATAAAAGTATTAGTTGAAACGTCATATTTTATTAAAAAGAAAAACTTCACCGTGTTAGAATAATGCCAATCTCGAAAAAATCATCATGTTGAAATTACTCAAATTGGCTTAATTGGCTAAAATTGTCGTAAATGACCATTTTGCTTATATTTCATATAATCTTTTCTTTATTTCATTAATAAACTACTCCCTTCATCCCTTTTTATTTAGCCAAATTTGACTTTTGAAGTTAATAATGTTAAATTATGACTGGTTATATATTTATACGTGTTAGTATTGATAATATATATGAAAATACTAATGTTCTTCATTAATTAGAAATACTATCATACAAGTATATACGGAGTATTTATTAAGTCTCACATAAATATATTAGTTAAAATAATGGATAAAAGTTTATCATCTTTGACTAGAAACATAATTAGAAGGATACACTATTATTTCTTAGACGGATAAATAATATGTGAACTCTACTATTCGTAAAATGTCACATTTTATTAAAAAAATGTGACATTTTAATAAAAGTTTCACTCTCTCATATGCTAAGCGGGCTAATACTTGAGAGGGCAAATTTTCTCTCTCATATTTAGTGCTTTTAGATATGGGACAAATATTGAACGAGAGAATTTTTCTCATATGTAGTGGTTTTAGGTATAAAATAAGATAAGCAGACTAATAATTTAACAAAAAAAAATCTCTCTCACATGTCCTGCTTTTAGATATAACATGAACCGACTAATAACTAAACAATAGAATTTCCTCTCTAATATATAGGTAATATAGTGTTTTTAGGTATAAGATAAACGAACTAATAATTGAGCGCGTAAATTTTGTCTCTAATATATATAGTGTTTTTAGGTATAAGATAAGCTGACTAATAAGCGAGCGGAAGAATTTTCTCTCTCTTATATAATCTTTTAGGTATGAGAAGATTAGATAAGCTCGGTAATAACTAAGCGGAATAACCTTCTCTTTCATATGTAATGATTTTAAGTATAAGATAAGCGGACTAATTAGTGAGC